CGGAGAGCAGCAAGCAACTCTTCTTGCGGCCTCTCGCGCGCTCGATGACGCCCACTCCTCTTTCTTCGTTCCACACGCGCACGATGGATACGCGTGAAGTTCGTCGGTAAATGAAATAGCTTCCTCGACGTTATCCGGCTTAACCACTTTCGAGCGGCTCACTCGATCGCGACCTTGATCCGCGTCGCCGGCTGTCGGGCTGCGCGCTCTCAGGAAAGGACACCGATCCGATCCGGCTATTATCGACTTTCTTCATCTACGCGTCAGCGTCAGCCATAAAGCCATTTCTGTCATCCGATGCTAATGCCAGGCGCATCCTTACAAGGCTGCGGACACGTTTGAGCCTCGGCAAGAAGGCGGCTGATCGGGCGAGTCGTGGGAGCCGTCGCTTCGAGAACCCCTCTCGGCGGCTGCTGCGGTCTTGCCAAGGGGGAGTTGACGTTGGCAAAACACGGCAGTCGCGCTTCTCGGATACCACTTTTCATTTTCGCGGAAGAAGTGGCGCTGCGCCGCGACCTAAAACGCGCGGCGAGGCAGCCGCGCAGCCGGCTTCTTCCGCGGACTTTATGGGACAGGCTATGGGAGCGGAATCTCAAGTAGCGCGACCTCCGTGATTTACACCGATGAAAGGGAGCGATCGTCGACGGCGACGGCGACGGCGACGGCGACGGCGACGGCGACGGCGCGCGTCTTTCATCGGGAAGGTCGATGACGGCGAGGCGCGTCAAGCGGTGAGACTCTCTCGACGAGCCCGACACTCGCGCGCGCCCGTTAACTCGGCCGAGCTCGTAAACGAAGGTGCTCCTCGCGAGCCAAGTGGGCCGCTCCGGGACATCTCGGCGTATCAGTCAGCCTCTCACGCGATCCGAGAGAGAGAGAGAGAGAGAGAGAGAGCGAGAGAGAGGTTTCCCGAGTCGAAATTTCAGTTCTACTTTGAGCCTGCAAATTCCGTAGGATTTGGAGGACTACTGAAGGATCTCCGGATATCTGGAGTCATATAGGATATAGTGCTCTTTTAATGCTACAAACCAAAACTTTGTGCTTCCTTAATGCTACAAATCGGTACTTATTGTCGTTTTTACCAACTTGAAGTTTAAGAGAGGACACACTGAAAGCCTCTGAAACGACTCCAGATCTTATGGCGCTCCTTCAGAACGGCTGCATGACCTACGCTACGTAAAAGCATTTTTAGGAGATATGAAAAATTATTTAATACTCAATTACCTCTTTTATATTCTACTTACTTTTAAATACAACATATTAAATTGTAGGAAGAATGTCAGAAACTTGAATTGTCAATAAATATGATAATTTTCTAAAGAGTTCTGAGCGCTAGCAAAAGTTGTATGATTTTTAAATAAATTAATATTGCCCGAGCGTGTCGTATTTTGAGAGAATGAGGTGTGTATGAAGTTGGCAGAAAATCACAAATTATTGGGAGTTCTGTATTCCTTTTTAATAGTTCTATAGAGTTCTTGGTAAGTTCCGCTCATTAACGCAAAAAAATGGCTCCTCCGGACAAACTGATTTGCCAAGTTCACGTTGCGTCATATATGATTTCCGCGCACATAAATTGTCAGATTTCACCAAATATATAATTCTACAATAGTTCTGTGAAAAATTCTGTGCTCAAGCATCAAAGCAAAACAGAATTATTGTAATGAAGTAAAGATTAGCAATAATAAAAAGTGATAAGCGTATCGACTTGAGACGCTACCAAAATCTCAGAGTTCTGGCCTTTCCAAAAGAATTTTCAAATAGTTATGAGCATAAAAAACATTTTCATTTTCGTATCTCGTATAGTTCTCAACATACTGAAGCATTTTCTAAAGAGTTCTGAGCATTCGTAACGTTGTACGATTTTTAAATAAATAAATTAGAGCTTGAGAAGTAGAAAATTTCGTCTATCGTCTCGCCCTCTCGTTCTCTCAAAGTACAACGCGCTCGAGTAATCTTAACTTATTTAAAAATTATACAACGTTACGAATGCCGCAGAGTTCTTTGAAAAATGCTGTAGTATGTTGAGAAATATACAAAAAGTATTTCAGATGGAAGAGAACTAGAAGATTTCGGCTAGCATCTCACCCTATTCTCTCAAAATACGATGCGCTCAGGCAGTATTAATTTATTTAAAAATTGTACAACGTTGCTAGCGCTCAGAACTCTTTGGAAAGTGTTTTTTTATGCTCATAACTATTTGAGAACTCTTTTGGAAAGGCTAGAACTCTGAGATTTTGATAGCGTCTCAAGTCGGTACGCTTATTACTGTATTATTGTTAATCTTTACTTAATTATAATCATCCTTTTTCGCTTTTATAGAGCAGAACTTTTTACAGAACTATTGTAGAACTATATATTTTGCGAAATCTGACAATGTAATGTGCAAAATAGAAACTCGCGAGAAACGCGATATTTAATTTTTCGATGCGACGGACCGAGTCGAAATATGAACGCGTGAATTCGACACTGTTACGGCGCGTTCTTCAAGACCTAACTTTTCGCTTCCGTTCGATCTGCTTCAACGACAGTCCGACGACACGCGCTTCGTCCTGTTGTTCGAACGGAATTTATTCTCTCCCTCTCGATAAATCTGTCGAGTGCCGAGAATAAACCAATTCGGAGTTCCTCGTGTACGTACCGTTTCACGCAGGGATATCCTACACCCTCGTGGGCGATCGGCAAAGGGGTAAAGCGGGCGGGGACTAACCTTGAGCCAGTAATGTGTCCGCGGTTTACTTACGACCTACCCCATGACGAGGCACGCGATGCTGATGGTGCGACTGGAAGCCGAAGCGGAACATGTGCGGCCAACGTAAATATTTAGCTGGTAAAAGGCGAGCAACCGCACGAGTGCAGACTGCCTGCCTCGTAACGCGTTCCTTTTTCCTTCGCTCCTGTCATAACAATGTAGATGTGCAAATACGTTCCCCTTGCGGCGCGCCGCTCTACGCACGCGTTACGTGCGTTTGCCTTGCGCCGAACCGCCGCGAGCCGCGAGCCGACTGATCGAAACGGGTATCCTCGTTAACGTTGCCCGTCGCCTCAGCACGGCGCTGCCATTCACCCAGTAAATGGGAGAATAGGATTACACGAGGGTAAATTAAATTAAACACGAAGGAAAAAGGATACAAAAGTGTTATCTGGTCAGAGAAGAGTGAAAAGCGAATTTCGCGCGCGCTCCAGGAGAGAGAAGGAAATCGAATGTGTGTACGCGGCGATCTCTCTCTCTCTCTCTCTATCTCTATCTCTATCTCTATATCTATATCTCTCTCTCTCCGAGAGAGAGAGAGAGAGAGAGAGAGAGAGAGAGAGAGAGAGAGAGAGAGAGAGAGAGAGAGAGAGAGAGAGAGAAAGGCATTAGCGCCGCGCAAATCGAGAATTACGACCGTCGACGTGCAGCGATGCAACCTTTAACGCCCAAAGGGTAGCCACGATCGTCGTCCCGCGCTCGCACACGTATACATACGTCCTCGTCTACGAGGGTCGGATAATTGAAGTCGGCTTCGGAACGGGCTCGAATCGGCCGTTCCGGACGAAGTCCTTAGAAGGAAACGCAGCCGGTATCGCGAACATGCGATCTGTCTTTATGGTCCGAAAGTGGGCGTCGGTCCGGTCTCACAATGCCGGCGTAACGACGACACAACGAGGACAACGACGACGACAAAGACGCGGCCCGACACGACGGCAGGATGAAGGACTCCCGTCTTGTTAAACCGCGACCGTTGCGGCCTCGGAGAGATGCGTGCGACTGCACATCCCCCGGCCTGCGGCGACTCTCGCCAAACTTTTCGATTAATGAACGAGGAAAAGTCTCGCGAAAGATTTAGAAAGAAAAAAAAAACAAGAAGCTTGAAAAGTTGGAGCCGAGGAAGCGATCGAATTTAATTCAATAGAATTTCATTCGAATAACGTTTGATATTTATATTAGCAAAGCCAACCGGCTGAGAATGTCGCGTCTTTTGCCAGCGAGAGTGGCGCATCTGTGAACGGCAAAAATGAGACGGCATGTGCAGCAACGAATTCGCGACCAAGACGAAAGCAGAGACATTTATCCGAGGTACTTATCTAAAGTACCGCGTGTAACGTTGTGCGTTTACGTAAAGATAATAGCGTGCGATACGCGCGCGCACGAGTATCATTCACGTGGCCGGCACTCAACGGAGCGTCCTGTAATGCAGCGCTCGCCTACGAGAATGGAATAACTCGCCAACGCTCGCTCGCTCACTCGCGCGTTGCATTTACGATTTGTTACGGCGGATTGTTGTACTTCAAAACCCGCGTTTGCGCCATTTACATCCGCCACTGCGGACGAACCGTCAACAGGCCACCCGCACGAGTCCCTCGCGCATTTTACATGTTCACGTGTTCGACTGTCGATTCGTCGATCCCACTTGAGCTCGCGGACAATGAAAATATAACGGAACGCGTGAACGAAGGTGAGCAATGAGAAGCGATGGCCGACCCCTGTCGCCCGGCCGCCTCGGTTCGCGCATAAAATCCCCATTGTCGCTCGCACGCACGCACGCACACGCCTAACACAGATTTCAACATCCGCCTGCGGAGAGAGAGGATCTTTCTCCCGGGACGATCCGGCCGAAGTATGAGAGAAAGAGAGATTGACAAAGCGATGCATTACGATGATATTGTGCTCTCCTATTCGTCGGGACGCTCCGGGACGCGCACGGGACGAAACAGACGCCAGGTAGCAGCGGCGGTCGTTCCGCGGTAGATCCGCGGTTACTCGGAATTAATTATCCGTCGCGAGATCCCCCGTCTCGCGGCGGGGTTCCCCGGCGAGCCGCGGGGAAGCCGCGAATCCCCGTCATTGCCCGTCGCGATTCGGATCTCGGCGCGTAAAGCAGCGTTCGCGGAACACGAACCCCCCCTCCCTCCCTCCCTCCCTCCCTCCCGGAATTTCTCGGCGAATATCGAAAATGTCGAGACGCGAGAACGGGGCTCACCTCTCACTGACGTCTCTGGATGCTGTCGTATGTTCGCAGGTCTACCAAGTGGAGTACGTGATAGTGAAGGCCGCGAACTCGCCGAGACCCGCCGCCTGGATCCTGGAGAGGTCCTTGGACAGCGAAAACTTCCTGCCGTGGCAGTATTACGCGCCGAATGACGAGGAATGCTGGTCGAGATATTCGACGCCGCCCACCGGCAGCAAACCCGTTTACATCAGCGACGACCATGTCATCTGCACCAGCCAGCACTCCAAGCAGATCCCCATGGAAAACGGCGAGGTGAGTGCTCTTCACTGTTTCGCGAAAATGCTCGGGAAAATATCGGGCCCTCCTCCTTCTTCTATATATAAGGGAAAAAGAATTAAATATAAAATGAATAATCTCGCGCTGTGAAATCGCCAACGCGTCGAGGTTCCCATTTGTATATAATTAATTGTCTCCGCCTTGGTTCCACCAGTGTCAATTGTTTTTTCTGGAAATTTCGCATCGTCCAGTAGACACCCTCGCTTCATTTCACGTGTGCATTTTATCGCTCTCTCCGGAAAGCAGCCTCGTCGGCGAGGTCAAGCGGACGCGAGCGAGGCGTTATGTTAATGAGCCTTGTGATGCAACAAGGAGCAGCGCTCGCTCGCCGACGCATTTTTGCCGGCGCCCGTTCCGCCAAGAGCGAGCGACCAAGCGTGTGATTATCAGTGATCCTTGCGAAAATCCTCGCGAGCGCGCGCACGCCCAACGTGTCGCCACTTGCTAAAACGGTTTTCTACCGCGCGCTCTGCGATTACGCGAATTAGATGATTAGCGGGCGCGCAGGATTTAGCAGGATTATACCGGGCCGTGCGCTCTCTTCCGGTGGCTCTCGTTTTTCTGCCTCTCCGCCGCCGTTGTCGCCTTTTTCTTGGCGCCGCCGCCAACTACTAATTGTAAGTGCTCTCTCGGGGGTAGTTAATAAGCGGCGAGTCGGCGCAATCGAAAGAGGGAGAGAGAGAGAGGGGGGGGGCAGCTTCCTCCCGTCTGGCCGATGCGAAAGCATGTTAATGGCTGTCTCGTCGACATTCGTCCGTCTGCGGACGAGTGCGTTTCTTCGCAATGGAAATTTATAAGCCGCTAGTAGGCTCTCTCCTCCTCGTCCGTCGCGTCGATCGGCCGAGTTTTCCGTCGCGAGGACACGCAGCCAGCCGCAACCGTGTAATTACATCCGCGGGAGACATAATTGCACGTAATCGCGTTAACGTCGCGTTTTGCACGTGATGGCTGCGTGCTCGTCCCCCTGCTCCTTCTCTGGAGGATACCTCTCCTGGTTCACGACAACGACGACGAGCGTTCCCAACGCGATCCTCCTTCCCGCCTTCGTCGCCAATTCCTTCTTTATCCCCGCGCTGCCGGTTCGCGTGCAGAAGCGTAAAACTGCCAAGCCTCCCCCCTCTGTGTCGAAGGTGCGTACGCGATACTCCCTTATACGGCCACGTAGCGCCATACATGGTCGGAATGTAGGGATCGCCGTTTTTGTATCATTGATTCTTTTCCATCGTTTCTCTCCCTCCTCCTCCTCCTCCTCCTCCTCCTCCTCCTCCAGTCCTTTCTGCAGACTTGCAACTTCCAAACGGGCGCTGCAGTCCTGTCTCTCCGCGGTTCCCGAACCCTCCGAAGAACCCTCCGAGTCCTCCCGATGCGCTGCTCCTGCGGTTCTTACCTCGAGATACATATCGGCGAAGCGTCGACTCGCAGGAGTCACGTACGAATAATTAAAAAGCAAGCTGGGGGCAATCAGCGTGGGATCGCGAGGCATCCTAAAAGAAAGGGACAAGCGATTGTCCCTTATTAGGCACCGCGCGCGCCCTCCATTTACGGAACTCACCGCTCCCTTTTCAGCGCGCGGCGCCATTCGCGGATGATTTACTCCTTCGACGGCGTCTCTCGAACTTAATGGCTCTCGCCCGCCGACGCTAATTGACCGTCGTCGCCGGCACGGATGTCGCATCCGACGTTCGCTTTCGTAATTCGGCTGACAATTTCTCGACTGTCGGACATCGCTCCTCCTTTACTCAGCGTTAATCAGCGCTTGAGGAAAAGCTACAATCGTTTCGACAGAAATATCCATTCCCGGGGGGGGAGGGGGGAGGGAGAGGGAGAGGGGAGTGGGCGACCACCACACTTTCCCGACACGAATAAGGACGATTCGCCGCGAGAAATGGTGCATCCTTGAGAACACGAGGAAAGAGAAATCCGGCTCGTGCGACTGTTCTGTCTAGCAAGGGACCAGACGAAAACTCGCTTGTTGCAACAGGCAGATAAGAGGCTTCCATTCGGTTTGCTTCCAATTGTTGTCTGTTATCTCGAGCGAGTTTCAGAGCAGCCGAATGTCGAGACGAACGGCGTGTCCGACGGCGATAACAGGAATATCGCTTCTCGCGTCGTCGTCGAGTTCTTATTCAGGCGCACCTTATTGAGACTGTCGTCTCCTATCGTGCGGACTGTCCTCTTGCATTCTTCATGGCGCGACTGTCGTTGTCCTACGAGCCATCCCGCGATCGGAGACTTCGTCGGGACTAATAGGAATTTTAATTGCTTACGTTAAAGATCCATACGAAGCTGGTGAGCGGTCGGCCCGGGGCCCTGAGCCACAGCTCGACTCTGCTGGAATTCACCCAGGCCAGATACGTCCGGCTGCGTCTTCAGGGGCTTCAGCGCAGCGGCGAATCCTCCGCGGACAAGCGGCAAGCCTTTTACTCCATAAAGGAGATCAACATCGGGGGACGGTGTCTGTGTTCCGGACACGCGGCGCGATGTCGGTACAGCGTGCATCACGGGGTAAGTGCTGACAGACGAGATCCTCCTCCTTGTCGCGTTCCTCAAACGTGTTCGAGAACGCGAGGCGAGTTGCTTTCCCGCGCTCGCCTGAGATTCGAGCGAGTTGTGCTGCTGGCCACTTGTCGCTAAAATTACGCAACTTGTGCAGTTTGAGATTTTTTCGTTTTCTTTCATGCAATCGCCTCGCGAGACCCACGCGAGTGTTCAGCGAAACTCGGCTTCTCGTGGGGAAAAATCTGCGAGAACGGCTGGCGCGATCGCGCGATTTTCGCGCGCGACTCCGAAGTCGGTCGCGCTCTCGAAAGCGGACACCCGGATTCGGCCGGCCGGCCGGCCGGCCGGCGAAATAAATCCGTCGAAAGCGCCGTAAACTTGTCAGGCCTTTGTCCGCCCCGACACCGCTAATGGCCGGATCGGCCGCTTCTCGAGTCGTCCGCCTGCTAAAAGCCGCAGAAACCGTGAGGAATTAAAGCCCCGCCGTGTGCGATCGCGCCGCCGCCGCCGCCGCGCCGCCGCGCCGGTGGGTGCCTTCGGTGGCGCCGTCGCTTTTTTCTCTTCCTTTCTTTTCGCCACTTTCAACGTTGTTGTGTGTGGTTTCCACGGTACGTGTCCGGTGGTGGCCGGTAGCCGGACTCGGAGGAATCTCGAGGTTGAAGTCAGGCGGTGAATCACGGTTAGAGTCGTGAGAATTGGATCGTTCGCGTGTAACAAAGACCAACTAGAATATTACGCCGTTCGTCCCGCGGTCGTTACGAGAGCTGTCGTTACGCCGCGTTATTAGAGCTGGCATTTGCGTCCGATTCGCCGGAATGAATTTCTCGCAAGTGCAACCGCCGTTGCAGCAGTCGTGAGCGCAAAGTCGGGGGGCTCACAAAGGCGCGATACGTTCGGCGTTGAACGCGCGCCGCGAATGCGGGTCAATAGCGCGAGCACTAAATTTACGACGACAGTCAGCGCGGACGGAATGAAAATGCGCACAACACCGCGGCCGCGTGTATCCTCGCGGGGGTGATTCACGTTTAATTACGAGCGCGGTGCTGCAGTCCGTCTCAAGCGGTACAATACCCGTGAGCGGTAAGACAATAGTCCCGACGCGGGTGATTAATCACTCCCGTGCCGCGGTATATTTCCTCGCGAAGAGATCTCTCCCTGTTCCTCTCTCGTATTCCTGCAGCGCGCAGCTGCAGCAGAAATCACGTCGCACAAGCGACACGGTGTAGCTTTGAATGTAAAATTGCAAATCTCTAGCTGAAATGAAAGATTAAACCATCTGCTCTCGAATTTAAGCCACTTAGAAAAAGGAATACCAGAAGGAAATATTTGAACGATATTAAATTTCAAGATAAATTTAAATTTTAGGATTCATTTTTATACAGGGTGGGACAATAAGTATTAGGACCTTAAATATCTTCGAATCTATAAGGCCCAGAGGAAGATTGTGTAACCAAAATTGCACGGAACGAAGGTGGGGGGGGGGGCTATCATATAGCGATAATAATTTTTGTCCAGATGGAGGCGCTTCGGAGATACCAAGGTCAACTTGCGTTTTTTAAATGGGAACCCTAATTTTTTATTACACTGTCTTTTTCTACCAATTAATTTGAACAACTTTTGTCTAAAACATTTTTTTATTTGCCTAATATTTTTTGAGATATCTGACGAAAACTTGATAACTTTTTCAATATTTAACTTACGATATCTCGCCAACTATTTGTCGGAGGAAAAAGTGGTCCTGGACTTTCTTGCTTTATTTAGTCTCAAGAATATATTGTTACAACAGCGCCCTGACTTTTGTTAACTTGCTGATTTTTGGAAATTTTAAAATCATCAAAAAGCAAACCACCTGGACAAAAATTATTATCGCTATATGATAGCCCCCTTCGTACCGTGCAATTTTGGTTACACAAATCTTCCTCTGGGACTTATAGATTCGAAGATATTTAAGGTCCTAATAGGTATTGCCCCACCCTGTATATGAGAGAAATTTAGAATTTAATTGTTTTGTGAATTTAATTGTGAATTTCGTTTTAACTTTAAATTTATTTAAAAAAGTCTTTTGAGTTTACTTCAATATTTTGTGTACTTTAATTTCTCTTTTAATTCTCTCAGTGACATTTTTATACACTTGGTGTACTGTTTTACTTTCGTAAGATACTTTATTGAGATATGAATCTCGTGGTGCACATAGGTGATAGGATCCGAGAAAGGACATTACTGCATCAGTCGTGCTCTACACACGCTCGGCTTCGGCGAACAATAATAGTTCACCGTGTCGCATAACGATTACCAACGCGATCGTTTGTGATTGCGACATCCGTACGTCTCGTCGCGGGTTCTTCGTGTTGCGATCACGATCGCTTTAACCCGCGGGCGTCGTGCAAAAATAGGAAAAAATCCTTTGCGCGAAACTCTCTCTCTCTCTCTCACATTCCACTATCGCCGTATCGGGATTATCGCTTGTTATACCATATAATAAACCAGACGACGGAATATCTTTGTAACAAAGGAGCATTAATCTGCGTCATTCGTGACGCAACGCCACGTCTGCCGATGCATCTCGTATCGCCGCACCGCGGCGTAGAGTGGACATTGACCTTTGCTTGGAGCGTTTGGTATCTCGCCCGCGATGTTTTCACGAGGCCCGGGAGAGCCTGATACGAGTTCGCGTACGCGTTCATTCAGGGTGCGCTCGTTGTTATGAATCGAACGCGAGAATTGTACGGCCGAGAGTGCAACGGCAGATACAGCGAGTTGCAAAAATGGCACGGACGATCTTTCGCGCGCGCGTTCATGCGTGCTCGTGTCTGTGTGAATGAAAACACTGCGGGGCTTTGTGTCGCTATCAATGCACAATGTTACAGATACTTCGTGTCGCTCTCGCAATCATCGTCACTTTCAATCACCTCGTCGTCAATCACCGGAACGTATCTCTCGGCAATTTACAATTTATTTAATCTCTCGTCTCGTAATTCTTTTTCTCTCATTCCTTCGTTAGAAAGGCACGTTAATTCTCCTCCCGGATCTGTAGGAAATTCGGTCTTTTTGCGGTTTATTGACGATATGACGTAAATCTCGTAACTTCCTTGAGACACTTTTACATCCGTCAACTTTCCCCCATGAGAAACGTACATTATCCTTGGAATCCTTTGCATTGCTCAACATCAGCCAACATCCTCCATGTTAATCCTCATGTTAAAGACTTTCATTTCCTCAAAGCACACATACGGACTAGCTTCACTTGAGATTCCGAGCAGCCGAGCACGCTCATGCGGTTGTAGAGTTCACGACCTCTCAGTGCTCAGTTACACTTATGAAAAGACACGTGTCTAACTTATCAATATTTAAGTATTTCCACGGATCTCGTTCTCAGTCAGATTTATACGACCCGTGAACCTCGCCTCGTGTAAGCGCCGCATTTTTCTCCTCTCGACGGAGGAAAATCTTTCCGCTCCTGCCGCGGATCAAAGAGACCGTCGTCGTCGAAATTAAGGTCGACCGTACCTCCGAGACACGAAGCGTGTGCAAGCGCGGCTTTTCATTTTTCGGTCGCGCGCGCGCGCGGCACGGCCGGTCTCTCGTCGATTCGAGAGTAACGGTCCCGAAACATTATGACTTCCGACGAGGCACAATTCGGACTCGTTAAACGCGGCCCGGAATCGTTGCGGAAAGCGGCCAATTACCGACCCCAGACGCGACCCTGTGTGAGCGCGGGGGGGGGGGGAGGGGAGGGTGATCATTATCATAGCAGTAAATAATATCGGGCCCCCGTTAACGCCCGAAATACCGCGCGATGAATCGTCCTTCGCGCCGCTCACGATACGACCACACACGCGTCGTTGCGCCATTTCGTTTCACCATTCCACTCTTCCTCCGTCGTCGAGAACGCTTTCCGGGGCGTCCACGTTTTTATCGCGCGGACGCGGCGATGACGCGGTTTTTCCAGGCACGTCTCGTCCTGATATGAGTTGAGTTTCGATATCCCGCTCTCGGTACGTTATGAGGGAAGGAGGTACGTAACAATCGCCATTCGAGGAGCAAGCTTATACGGATTAACGTTCGGGCGTCCGGAACGGGTGTTTATCGCATTCGTAGCTCGTACTTTGGTCGCGCGATCGAGCGAACCCGCTGTTTGCAAACGTCGATTCCGCGATCGCCGGATCCGCGAGGCGGAAACGGAACGAACGAATGGCGGACGCCCTCGTGAAGCGAACGTACTGCGGCCGCGCGCGCGGGGGCATTGAGAAAGTGCGCTTTATGCACGGCGTTATATAGTTATCCGCGATAGTTACACGCGTATCGTTTACACGCTCGGAGAGCAGCGGGAGAGCGCGAACTATGAAGCGTCGTCTTTACGACTGCGCCGCGATGCAGCAACATCCGGGTGAGCGTCTAATATTACCGAATGTAGCGATTCATTCATCCGCGCGTTTCATTCGACCCGGCTCGCCGATCGTTCATCCCGACGACGATGGCCGTCGATCGCCAGCGATCGGCTGCGCTCGGCGATTTCGCGTTCATTTCGTTCCGTTCTTACTGTTTGTTGTTCACCGTCGAGAGCCTTCAGCCGTGGAGCCCTTTTGAATCCTGCGTTTCTCCTGCCATCCGGTATTTTGCTAAGACACCAACAAACATCGCGTTTACACGACATAGCTGAGCAGCGACATTGTCGTCGAATGTTAACCACGCGATTTGGATGACAATCGTGTTATCATGCTCTCGCGCTCGACCTTTGAACACGTGATCTCCGGGCACAACACCGAGTCCGTTTGGGACCCATCCTGCGATTTTCGATTCAGTTGGACAATTGTACTCGCGCGAGCACAGCATCTCGCAGGTCCGCGTTTAATCGCGACTTTTTAATTATTATCTGACTTGCTTCTTTTTACTTTTCTTTCGTTTGACCGACTTTCGGAGACCGCTTTTATCGAATTCACCGTGATTTATATCGATCGAGATTTATGTCGTTGCGAGATTGTCAAATCGGAAGACTTACAGACCACGTCTTTCGTCTTTCGCTGTTCCAAATAACATGGAACGACCGGCGACCGACTTGCTACTGTTGATGTTAACACTCATGATGCTGATGATAATAGTGGTAATAATAGAAATAATACTGCTCGAATCATCAATCATTGCAACGCTATCACGACGTCATTGAGACACGAAGAGCTGACGAAATGGGAGAATTCCCATTCGAGGTGAGCGTCGCGGCGGACGACGAACGCTATTGTCTCGTCCATGAGGGTGTCTTCACGTCGCCTCGCCGTTTCGTTCGTCCGCGATCGAGGAGCGCGGCCGCTCCGGCCTCTCTCGCCTCGGCGACAATCTGTGATAAGCGCATTTCGTGTCGTTTCGTTCCTCAGCATCAGAAGTGCGAGTGCGAGCGTCACACGTGCGGCGAAAGATGCGAGAAATGCTGCCCCATGTACAATCAGATCCCGTGGCGACCCGGCACCGCCGGCAAGGGCTTTCACTGCGAGAAGTGCAACTGCAACGGCCACGCAACGTCCTGCAGATACGACCAGGAAGTAGCCAGGAAGAATATGTCCATGGACATTCATGGGAAATACCGAGGCGGCGGCATGTGCGTCAATTGCACGGTAAGGCAGCCGAACGCGCGCGCGCGCGCGGGGAGCAACTGTTGCGAAATAGGCGCGCACGTTCTTTTTTCGCGTATTTCGCGTACATTCCGCGAAATTCAGGTCGAGTTTTTTCCCGTTCGGCAGCAGGTCTCGCGATATTTTCAGTGATCTTAGAGGCAGCAGATTTCCCAGTCGAAATCGTGACGGGATTTCACGCGTTGTTGTTTCTCGCAAAATTCTCTGAGTCTCGGGTGAAAAAACAGATGAGATGAAGGATACGTTTCGAAGAGAGTAGAAGAATGAAAATAGTTGGAAATTGGCGAAATCTTTCGCAGGAGCACACGGCCGGGATCAACTGCGAGAAATGCGAGGTCGGCTATTACAGGCCGAATGGTGTCGCACCTGACGCATCGGAGCCGTGCATCCCCTGCAATTGCAACGTGCGTGGTAGCACCGGCTACTGCACTCCCGACGACTCGTACACCCACGTGGGAAAGGTAAGAGCAATTTCCCGAGCGCGAAGTGTAATCTCTCTCTCTCTCTCTCTCTCTCTCTCTCAAATTGGCAAATTTCGAGCAGCAAGTTCGAAGCGACGTCCGCGAAAATCATGACGGCGCGAGCGTGTGATACTCGTCTCGGCGAAGCGCGAGAAGCGAGAAGTCGCTTCCACCTGCGACGTTCCCTCGCCGCTTCACGTCGTCGCTCTCCCGCCGATCTCACGACGATCACGAGGATCGCCTCGCGGCTGCTTTCACCGTGTCTCGGGGGATTATTAGCCGATAATCGCTCGCGCCAGCGTGATTTATGCGCGTCGATTAGCCAACGATCGACGGTGACGGTGACGGTGACGGTGACGACGTTCTCACGATCGTGGGGTCGTCCTATAATCGCCGTCTATAAACACCGCTCGTGCTCCAGGTAGCAGGTGCCTGCGAGTGCAAGCCGGGCTACTCGGGCTACAAGTGCGATCAGTGCGCGGCCGGCTATCAGCAGTTTCCCGACTGCATGCCTTGCCCCTGCGACTCCCGCGGGATCTTACCGTCTGACGACTGCGAAGGCTACTGCCTCTGCAAGGCGAACGTCGCCGGCGAGTTCTGCGATCGCTGCAAACCTGGCTATTTTGCCCTCACGAAAGACAATCTTGACGGCTGCTCGCCCTGCTACTGTTTCGGCACGACCGACCGATGCACCACCGCCAGACTATCGTACAGCATGGTGAGACTTTACTCTATCTCGCGGTTTCGGCAATTTTATCGCGTCATTTGTCACGTTCATCTTCCGAATTTGGTTGTTCGTGTGATTGATTAGAAAATTATATCGCCGTATCGCCGTATCGCCATATAAGTATAACACGATACGTGTAATCGTGATCATCATGTCGTGTCACACAAGTTAATACACAACTGTATTACAATAAATTACCATATCATACATATTCATGTGATTATATTACAAATTACAAGGAGACAATATTTTTTATTGCGTAGATGAAACTGGAGATTATCGCGAAGTAAAGTGAAACGCTTCAATCACACATTATTATAGTAATTTGATATACATGGCGAAATATTTCGTGGTTCCTCCACTGCGCTGCGCTGCGCTGCGCTGCGCTGCGCTGCGCTGCGCTGCGAAGTAAGATAGACACGCTTTCCCAAGGCTGGTAACGGCTGGTGAGCCGCGCGATTTGCTTCTTTTTTCCCAGATTTCTACGCTGGAGAACTGGTTGGTGACCGACATGAACGCGTCCCGAGCAGTTGTTCCCATCTTGAAGACGGACGATGGGTGGCTAACCATGACGCCGTACGAGGTCAGCAGCCCTTTCTGGCTGGCGCCGCAAGTCTACTCGGGGAATCGTGTATCCTCGTACGGCAGTAATCTTACGTACTCCGTTACGTGGGTCGTCATACGAGGCGACAACAGTGGTAAACCGACCGTCGGGCCCAACGTTATCCTGGTCGTAAGTATCTGCCAGCGTCTGTCTATTCGCATCGCAAAATTCCAATTCTCTAGTTTCTCACGAGTTGTATTGTGAAGTCGCGGGTGAAACGGGTGAGAGGGAAGTAAACGCGCGATGATAACGCGTGCAATTTGTCGCGTTGTTGTTTTCTTGCGCAGGGTAACAACGGTTTGCGCATCGCGTACGGCGAGGAGCAATATAGCGGCGATAGAGCGGAGATCTCGGTATCTCTACGAGAACAGGGCTGGTATCATGTTCGGGATGATATCCGGGACATTCCGACGAGATTAAGAAGAACCGAGTTTCGTGGCGATCCTGTGACGAAGACCCAGATGATGCACGTTCTCGCCGACCTGAAGCACTTGATGATTAGGGCGCAATACCATTCGGGACAAATCGAAGGAAGGTACGTGTCAATTATCAAATCAAGTCTTTAATTACTCGAACTTAGGATGGTTGATGCAGGTGTTTACTTGCATCCCTCCGTGCTTGAATTGATCTTTTCCAGACATCTATCGTGTAATTTAATATATAACATTGACAGAGTAACGAAAATTTGTCCTAAACACGAATCTCACATTTTGGACAACGTAGAAAAAAGGAGCATATATGTTTCTCATTCTTTTTCAGTCTTCAATACGCCATCCTGGCAACGGGCGAATTTTCGCCGGACGGCGAGACCAACAATCTAGTCGAAATGTGCGAGTGTCCTGAGGGATATGAAGGCTTGTCCTGCGAGAGATGCACCTGGGGATACGCGAGAGTTGTCACCAACGGCACCAATCTCCAGGACCATCACATATGCGTGAAATGCGACTGCAACGGCCACGTGGAGTCCTGCGACATTTTGATGGGCGAATGCGGGGTGAGTTTCGATAAATTTATTTGCCAGGACACATCTAGTGTAAGAAACGTGTAAAAGAACGGATTACGTCAGTGTACATCTGGCTTTAACGCGGACGCGAACCTTCGACCAAGATCCGAACGCCGCGCTGCGGCGGATACTTGGTCGGTAGAGTAGAGTACCTGAAGTAACCGAGCTCGTATCGATCTTGCGGCCGTTGATCTCTAGGGATCTCTAGTGGGATCACGAGCGATTTTACCGACCACACTCTATGCGCGCGCACACAGCACGCAGCTCTGTCCTTCGGCCCTCGACACCGACGAGAAGTGCGCTGGACTGTCTGTCGGTAGCAGTACCGCTGCTTATTGAGCGAGCATAAAAGAATGCACAATTATTTATATATATATATATATTTCCTATTTAATATAAATATGTCTCGGTCGTTCTACTGCAATTTTAATTCGACACTTTTTCACTAAATAAGTGATATAAAAGGATAGTTTGATATTTTTAATACTCGTAATATAAAAAATCTTTTTCAATAATTTAATTTTTTTAATAGATATTTTTTAATAATATAAAAAATCTCGTTTCATCGTTTCGGGCATAATGCAAATCGATAAGCGGTGTATTATTCGTCTAATTTATAGACGTGTTTACATCATACGGTGGGCCCGAAGTGTGATCGTTGCGCTATAGGATATTACGGTATCGCGACGAAGGGCACTAGTGAGGATTGCGAGAAATGCGCGTGCCCATTGTCCATTGAATCCAACAATTTTAGTCCGAGTTGTCAGCTTGACGATCCCACTGATATTAATAGTGGATACGTGTGCACGCAGTGTCCCGAAGGATACACCGGGGACCATTGCGAAAGGTAAAGAAATTAATGAATTTCTCTTATATCTCGGCTAAAAAAATTTTGACGCATAAAGTTCACATCGAGAATACAGTCGGCTTCTATCAAATGACAGCAGTCGCAGATGAATCGCAATTTTTTCTTCCCGAAAGTCTTGAAAATCTTTTAAAGATCACATAGTCTCACGTATCGAAAATCCGTGTTTGTGAAAATGAATACGATTAATATCGTGGTGGTACTATTTTTGTACATCAAAAATCATCGTCCGTGTACATCAAAAATCACTATCCGACTGGAGAGCTTTAATTTCGATCTTGGTTAAAAGTTGTGACGTAGGATTTTATGGTAATCCTTTGACTCCCGGTGGCACTTGCCAGCGATGTCCCTGCAACGGCGGTGCCTGCGATCAAGAGACGGGTCGCTGCTTGGAATGCCGCGGGAACACCGAAGGCTGGAAATGCGAGCGCTGCAAAGAAGCTCACTACGGGAATCCCTTGGAGTTGAATTGCATGCGTAAGTACAAATAATTAAAAGTAACCACGTGAGCAGAGATGTCGATTGCGGATCGGACGCGGAGGGGGATAATCGATCTCTTTCGATTCGCGCCAATGAGACACGCGTTAAAAGCGGAACGACCGTTTGTGTTTCAGCGTGCGATTGCTCGACGCTCGGCAGCAGTTCGGTTCAGTGCGATAAAACGACCGGTCAGTGTTCTTGCAACTCTCTGTTCACCGGTCGTGACTGCTCCTCGTGCATCGAAGGTTACGGGAACGTGACCGCGGGTTGCCAGGAGTGCGATTGCGACGTGGGTGCTCTCAACGGACTCTGCGACTCCGTGAGCGGTATATGCAGGTGCGCTCCAGGCGTCGTCGGCTCCCGGTGTGACCACTGCGACATGGACCACTACGGTTTGACTTCGGACGGTTGCAACA